AAATGTGTGTACTTATTACAATTATTTGCTTAGATAAGTTTACTGAAAACGATATCGTGGGAAATGCTTTTGGATTATTTATTGCTGCATATGAGACAGTTTCGACTGCAATATCATTTTGCCTTTATGAACTATCATTAAATAAATCAATTCAAGATCGAATACGAAAGGAAATGGAGTTGGTTAAAACAAGGTTTGTCGATAATGAAGAAAAATATGATATGTTCAATCAACTTCACTACACTGATATGGTTTTAGCTGGTCAGTTTTAATATAAAAATAAACAAAAAATATGCTATAGTATAATAAATACCTTTTTACCTTCACATTGAATCTAAATAAAATAAATTTAGCACTCAAGTATTTTGTAGAAACCGTTCGTAAATATCCACCGGTCGCAGCATTGTTTCGAGAGGCAACACAGGATTATAATATGACTGAAGGATTATTGTTAGAAAAAGGCATTAAAATTATAATTCCGATTTATTCGATACATTATAATAAAATGTATTATCCAAATCCATACAAATTTGATCCTGATAGATTTTTACCCGAAGAAAAAATTAAAATACGAAACGGTACGTATTTACCATTTGGAGATGGACCTCGTATTTGTATAGGTAAAAGAAATGTTATTAAATCAAAAACTTAAAAATACACTATTTTTGTGTACTTAATCATTTTTACAGGTAAGCGTTTTGCCGAATTAGAAATGAAAATAGCATTATTGGAATTTTTGACAAACTTTGAAGTAGCACCTTGCGAAAAAACTGATATACCAATAAAGTTTAGCAAAAACTCATTTGTGGTAGTTCCAAAAAATGGCATTTGGTTACATATCAAAAAACTGAATAAAACCAGTAAATTTTCATAGTTTTAAATTATTTAAATTAGCTCTTTGTTGTTGTTAAATAAATAATGCGTTATATTTAATGTTTTAAATAATGTATTATATAAATTAAAAATGGTAAAAACAAGAATTTTTTAAAATTAAGTTGTATTTTAGATGATCAAGACTTGGATTG